TTAGCTGGGCATGGTGGCAGGCAGCTGTAGTCCCAGCTACTCAGAAGGCTGAGACAGGAGAATTGCTTGAACCCAGGAGGCGAAGGTTACACTGCACTGAGATGGCGCCTCTGTACTTCAGCCTGGGCAAAGGAGTGAGCCTCCATCTCAAAAAGAAGGGACAATACTCCCAGGAGATCTTATCTCTGGTGCAGCTTATTCTTACTGATTATTAATAGAAAAAATTTTTTGTTTGCTTGTTTTGAGACAGAGTCTTTCTCGGTCACTCAGTCTTTAGTGCAGTGGCTCCATCTTAGCTCACTGCAGCCTCCAACTCTCGATTTCAAGCAGTTCTCCTGCCTTAGCCTCCAAAGCATCTGGGATTACAGGCATACATTACCATGCCTGCCTAATTGTTTTCTATTTTTAGTTGAGACGGTGTTTCACCATGTTGGCCAAGCTGTTTTCAAACTCCTGACCTCAAGCGATCCACCTGCCTCGGCCTCTCACAGTGCTAGCATTACAGGTGTGAGCCACCGCTCTGGGCCCTGACTTTATCGTCATGCAATATGAACTTCTCCTTCACCTCCTGTGTGTCGTAGACAGTTCTGCATGCTAACTTTCTTTTTTTATATTTCTTTCTTTTTTTCTTTTTTTAAAGATGGGGTTTCACCATGATGGCCAGGCTGGTCCTCAACTCCTGACCTCAGGTGATCCACCCACGTCGGCCTCCCAAAGTGCTAGGATTACAGGCGTGAGCCACTGTGCCCAGCTCTACATGCTGACTTTCAGTTTCCGGTATCCACTCAACCCAAGACCTTGTTTAGTTTAATACGTCATTCTAATTGTCAGTCCCCGCTGCTCAAGTGTGAAATTCAAGTACAATTTTCTTATAATACATATTTTTCCATGTTCTTGATGATCCCTTGTACTAGAAAACTCTATTCAAGAGGATATAAAAAGGATTGTAGATATTCAAGTGCCACTTATCTCTGGGATGCAAGGATGGGTCCCCATATTCAAGCAAATCAATGTCATTTTTCACTGTAACAGAATGAAAGATAAAAACCACATCACCTCAACAGATGGAGAAAAAGCAGTTCACAAAATTCAACATCCAGTCATCATAGTAATCCTAAACAAAACAAATAGAGATACAAATTTACCGCAACAATGTAAAGACCATCCATGAAACGACCACAGTGGAAATAACCAGTCCGAGAAAACGGAATGCTTTTCCTGTAGGATCTCACATGGTCCACGAACGCTCTCACCCCTTCTATTCAATAAATCCTGGCTGTCTTAGCCAGAGCAATTAAATAGCCAAAGAAATAAAACTCATCCAAATCAGAAAGAAAGAAGTACAATTACATGTGTTTGTAAATGACATAATCTTTTGTATAGAAAATCATAAAGAGTCAACCAAGATACTACTGGAACTACTAAACGCATTTGGTGTATTTGCAGAATACAATATCAGCACCAAAAATTAGGTTAACTTCCATACATTAACAATAAACAATTTTAAAAGAAAATTTAAAAAACTTCTATTTGTTAGAGAACCTAAAGTAAGAAATATTTAGGAATCAATGTAAAAAGCTGAGAAATTTGTACCATGAAATCTACAAACATTGATCAAAGTGATTTAAAACATACAGCCAGGTGCGGTGGCTCACACTTGTAATCCCAGCACTTTGGGAGGCTCAGGTGGGCGGTGCTTTCTCCTGTCTGGCAAGTAGCCCACGTTAAATGAGAAAAGGTTATCAACAGTAACATGCACAAAAGAGAGTCTACCAAAAGAGGGAACATGGGTAACTTCTATCTACCAAAGAGTTTTAGGAGAAAGTCCCCTAGGGTTAACTGCAAGGAAAGTCACTGTCGAACTAAAACCTGACAAGAAGGACACTGTTGGACAGTAGATTTAGCTTGTTTCCAAGTAATGGATAATTTGTTTTTAAACTCGCCGCATTAGTATGAGTTACCGCATGAAAATCAATTGCAGAAGCGACTAATGCATCGGCTCTAGCACTGGCTGCTGACAGAGGCCCTGGCAAAGGAGAATCAGAACAAATATGAGTAATATAGAAAGGGGAAGACCAGGCTTGAAGCGTATCCTGGAATTGTTTTTTTAAAAAAAGTGAAAGCAAATCGTCATCAGGCAAAAACTTAATCAGAGCAGTCCCAATTTGCCATGTGCACCTGAAGCGGTCCTGGACTGAGAGGATCTGACTGGGTGACAGCTTGTACACCAGGAATACCAGCAGCAGTGGGCACAGGGTGCTCAGAAACAGGCGTTGGTGCCTGAGTGTCAGGCTGTGCGCCCTTAGGTGCCATTGGCTTGCAGAGCAAGAACAGCAGGTGGATTAGTGCCAGGGGGTGCCAGGACGGGAGTAGCAGGTATAGGAGGCTGCAAAACCATGGAAAACTGCGACACCTCAGAATCCCCATATTCATGAGCCTGAGTCATAGCTGTCGTCAGTGGCATATCATCCTCACCTATGTATGTGACATTTGTTTTTGGGAGCAAACCACAATCACGGATGGACCAGAAACAGAAAGGAAATTGGAATGCTGAGAAGAGAGGTTGAGAGCCTTTAAACCAGGCTGACCCGTGGCTACCTGTGACGCATCTTTCAAGGGCTGTGGACCAGGCTGTGAATCCGTTACCTGCAGAGGAGGTCTTTCAAGGGCCTGAAAACCAGGCTGACCAATGGACGACAGAGCAGACTTCTGAGGAGCCTGATGCACAGGACAGAGTTGAGGGCCTTTCAGCAAGCCTGAACAGGGATAGAGTTGAGAGCTTCATCACTGGGCTGATTAGATGGATGGTTCACAGCCCTACAGCAGGCTGAGAGAGGGCGGAAGCTTCTGGCCACGACGGCCGTTGCACGGACTGCTCAATCGGGCTTTGCCAATCAATAGTCTGTAACTCACGCATGAGGTCATCAGATACAGTAACAGGTGGTGCAGAAGGCTTAGGAGTAGGTGGAGAGACAAAAGTGAATGCTGGGTCCACCTCCATATTAGCAATGGCGTGTTCAATCTTGGCTGTGTCCTCCGGAGGAAGTGACCCAACAATCTCCTCAACCTCCTCTGAAGACAGGAAGGAGGAGTCGGCCTCCAAGGACTCTTCCTCTGTCTGCAGAGACTTGAGGACAGTACAGAAGACCAAATACACCAGATTGCAACAGAAAAATAGTCCGTTCCTTTTGAGTCACTTTAAGATGGTGGCTGACCTTATCCCAATCCTGGAGTTTCAAGGTCCTTCAATGGAGAACCAGGGGCAAAACTGATCCATAACCTCCAACAACTGAATAAATTTCTCAGAAGAAACTGTGACCTTCCTTTTTGAAGAATTCTAATAAAATTAAGATAGGCCGAGCATTTCGTACTGGCTTGTACCACGATTACCCTGGATTCCTCTGAGGCACCTAAGCTTACCACAAGCTTGTTAATCATAGTCCTCAGGAATTTCTCACCGAAAGATCCTCTGCTTCCACGCACAATGCGTACCTTCACACAAGAGAGAAACCCAGGTTGGAGAGCCAGATGTAGGGTCCAGCCCTACAGGGTCCTGTGAGCCCCTCTCTAGTGGTATGGAGACGAGAAACTGGGAATAGTCACAAGACACTGAGATCGGGAGCAAGAGAGTTTGGGCCCAGCGGCCCACTGCCAACCAAAGTGCAGAGTCCGGCCATGGCCCCGAGTGTCCGCACACTCTGACTTTTATTGACTACAAAGCTGGGGGCAGGGTAGGTAGGCAAGGGATTGGTGGTCAGTGATAGGGTCAAAGTACATCACGTGTCATCTAGGTAGGGGCCCAGGACTCTCAAGAAGCCAAAACAAGGGAAGGAGCATAATTAGTCAGCGCTGTTCTGTACTTGTCAAGACATTCATATTTATGTTACTTTTACTGATTTTACCTTCTAAGAAAAAGAGGAACCAGGTCCAGAAGTGGAATATGAAAGTAGACATGAAACATGACCACTGAAGCATTGCATCACATAGAGACAATTAAGCCCCTGGATGTCTATGGGCCTCCCTGACAGCCATCAGACCCACCGCAAGAACCTGGGGAGTGGAGTTTTCTCCTAGCTCCTGGGAGGAAGAAGACATGTCCGACATCTCCTTCCATAGCTTGCTAAACAGCGGGCACTTTCCCAGCACTGGTGCTGTCGCATAGCCAAGGTGCCCTCCAGCAGCCCTTACACGGGCATGACAGAGCGCTTAAAGCGTCTTGCCTTAGGGTCACTTCTTTCACAATGTCACCTTAGTTTCACACTTCGAGACCTGAGACGCATTAGTAAAAGATTATGCTGAGTATATATATTTATATATGTCTTAATGATTACCTATGAATAACTAAGATCACCTATGAGTAACTACTACGGTTATCTCTATTTTCTTCTTCATTATTTATATGGAAACAGACTGAGGCTTCTGACTCCTGCCTCGGCACTTATGGGGTCTCCTGCCCACAACCCTTATTGATATATTGCAAAAATTAATACTGTTAAATGATTATAAAGCCCAATGTGATTTAGATTCAGCTCAATACCCCTAAACATTCCTATCAATTTTTGATAAAAAAAAAAAAAAAAAATCAAAAACCAAACTGGGAAAAGAGGCTTACATCTGTTGGCCAGGTTGGTCTCAAACTCTTGATCTCAAGTGATCTACCCATCTTGACCTCCCAAAGTGCTGGGATTACAGGCATGAGCAAACATGCCAAGACGAATCCTCTTCATATAAACTCTTTAATGTCAATTAATGATTGAGCTGAATGTTAAGTCAACTCAAACTTACGTCAATGCTGAATTGACTCTAATGTCAATTAATGCTTCATGGTTTGCTGGACTCATTGCATTTGGAACAATTATCTCAAAAATGAATTTTCCAACGTTCTGCAGGAAGTGACCTGGGACTGAAGAGCTTGCCACACTTATGAAATTTGTAAGATTTCTGCCCAGTGTGGATTCTCTGATGTCTAATGGGGTGTGAATGTAAAGGCTTTGCCACAGTCCTAACAATTGTGAGGTTTCTCTCCTATATGAATTCTCCTGTTTTCCCTAAGATGAAGCTTGACGGAAGACCTTGCCACAATCATAACATTTGTAAGATTTCTCTCCAGTATAAGTTTGTCAATGAACTGCAATGGATGAATGATGTCTGAAAAATTTGCCACCTTTATTACATTTGTAAGATCTCTCTTCGTTATGGATTCTCTAATGATTTGCCATGGTTGTAGCCTTACTGAAGACTTGATGACAATTATTACCGTAGAAAAGCTTCCCTATACCATGGATTGATTTATGATGACTAAGTGTTGAATGCCCCCTAAAGGCTTTGCCACACTCATTACACTTGTAAGGTTTTTCTCCTGTGTGGATTCTAGTATGTTCTGCCAGGGTTGAATTACGCCCGAAAGCCTTGTCACAAACCGTACATTTGTATGGTTTCTCTCCAGTATGAATTCTCCTATGTCTTTCAAGTTGTGTTTTGCTTCTAAAAACTTTGTTACATTCTTCACATTTGTAAGGTTTCTCTCCAGTATGAAGTCTATAATGCGGTGCAAGGTGTGATTTTTGATTAAAATGTTTGCCACATTCATTACACTTGTAAGGTTTCTCTCCAGTATGAAGTCTATGATGGCATGTAAGGGATGACATGTGACTGAAGGTCTTGCCACATTCATTACACGTGTAAGGTGTCTCTCCACTATGAAGTCTTTGATGGGCTACAAGACTCGCCATCTTACTGAAGGTCTTGCCACACTCATTACACTTGTAAGGTTTCTCACCAGTATGAACTCTATGATGACATTCAAGGTGTGCCTTTTGATTAAAACCCTTGCCACATTCATTACACTTGTAAGGTTTCTCTCCAGTATGAAGTCTACGATGGTATGTAAGGGATGACGTCTGACTGAAGGCCTTGCCACACTCATTACACTTATGAGGTTTCTCTCCAGTATGAACTGCCTTATGATTTACAAGGGCTGTATTTCGACCAAAGCACTTGCCACACTCATTACACTTGTAAGGTTTCTCTCCAGTATGAA